GTATTTTCGATATATTCTCTGTGGCCGTGTCTTAGGTTCTGAAGTACGAGCAGTACCTTGATAACCCACTCGCACGGTTCCTGCTGAAAAAGGCGTTAACCAATCAGAGGATAGGACATTTCTTCTTCTGGCATTTAAAGTGAGTTTATTTAAAAGGATTTTCTTTCAGGAAGTTGGAACTGTTTGTAAGCGAAAGGGTAAAGGCTTGTTTGAGTGTTTGGCCTCGGGTACGGATGAATTTAAAAAACATACTTTGAAGATGCCTCACATTGGTTTATGTTTTAGGATTTCCAGGGAGGCAGAGCGTATTTTCTTTGGGACAGAACCTCTTAAACTTTTTTCCTTTCCTTGTTTTTATGCGTGAAGGTCAGAGATGCACAACAAGACAGTGAGCCAGCGGTTTGGTCTGCTTCTGGAGTCCTACTGCCGGGCCTGTGGCATGTATCTGAAGCACTTGAGCAGACAGGTGGAGGCCATGGAGAAGCTCATCAATCTCACTGACCTCCTCAAACAGGAGAAAAAAGATGAGGCTCAGAAGGTAATCTGACAGCTGGCAGCTGTTTTGAATGTGATCCACTGAATCGTTTGGTTTAATCTTTACAACATCTGCACCGGCCTGGCCGCAGGGACACCACATTAGAGTGCAGTGATAGAATTTGGAGCTTTGCTTTCTCTCTCTTTTTTTCCCCTCTTAATTGCTTGTAGTAAAATATTCAGCCACGCTGGCATAAGATATTTCTTTTTTTTTTTTTTAAAAAAAGCTTTTCGTATTCACTCATTCAGTGTATTTTTTTATTATTATTATTTTTATTTTACTTTTTTTGCTTTTGGGTCTTTATGACATCAGTGAGCGTGAAAAACCTCAATCATCTCAGAAACCGATAATAGAAGCTCCACCCACCTGCTGTTCCAATTTTCTGTTTGTGAGGGGTAGCCAATCAGAAGAAGGGATGCTGGATTTAATCAACAACCTCCTTGTTTAAGACAGAGGATGACTTGAGGGACTCCACAAAGGCTCAGCATGAAATAAACAAGGATTATTTTAAACTGTGACTCATGCATGCCCACTGCTTCACTGGGTGAATGGGTTAAATGCAGAGGAGCAATTTCCTATGGGGACTAACACATACACATTATACATTATACATTATACATGCAGAGCTAACCCAGAAGAGTCAAATGAAAATATTTCATTGAAATGAGAATAATGGGTCTCTTATCCTTATAGTACTAGTTCCAGTTAAATATGGAACTTAAGGTTAGTAGTCGTTAGTAGTTAGTGAACTTAATATGTAGCTACAGGCTATAAAAATGTTTTGCTACTAGTTACTATGCCAGTCACAGTGGTTAGCTTGGATGGCTTGGTCATGTATTAAACCAGTATGAAATGCCCAGTGCACATCCAATCTAAATCTACCTGGTGCTTCTTAGATGGTTCAGCATGGCCACCAGAGGGTGTATGTCATCGCCTGAAAGCCCTCAGTGAAGGAGCATTACCTCATTGTGAGAGATTTTGCTGAAGAGAAGCAGCAGAAAGTTGACTGTGATTGCTGCATATGAACTTACGCCAGCCCGTTTATCCAGTTGCTCAGCACCTGAGGAAACTGTCACATTTGTTTAATCCCCTTTAAGGTTCAAATGAAGTTTCTGGTGGAGCAGATGAAAAGACCTGACTACATGGATGCACTGCAGAGCTTCACCTCTCCGCTGAATCCGGCACATCAGCTGGGAAACCTCCGGTACTTCAGCACTCTTATCTAAAACAGTCCTCTCAAATGGTTGGCATTTAATTTTTATTCCCTCTGCAGGTGATGCTTTCGCCCTCTCCTCTCCGAGGCTTGAAGTATTACCAAATGTAATAAGAGCTGAACAGTTTGGTTCATATCAAGCACATTAGGACCATTATGAACTGAATGCTTGTAGAGCTCTGTTGCTGTGATGAGCACAACCACAATTACAGAGGGCTTTCCTTTTATATACATGTGTATTTTTCCTGCTAAAACATATCCATGTCTTTACTTTAGCCTGGAGGAATGCAGGATGATGTCGTCAGCAAAGAGACCTCTGTGGCTTAACTGGGAAAACCCAGATATGATGTCGGAGCTGCTCTTTCAGAACAATGAAATCATCTTCAAAAATGGAGATGGTGAGTTGTGCCTCTACCTCCGCCTGTCTGTCCTCTCCTCAGTGCTCACACTCTCAGCACACACACACACACAGAGACCTGCCGAGCATGCGCACAGTTCAGCCTGCGCTGCGTCGTTTCATGCTACATAAATACAACTATAACTGCGCTCTTAACGCAGAACTCAGAAGGAGCAGTGCTCGTATTTGACCCCCGCTTCACGGCAGCAGCTTGTGCTTTTTTGCTGCAGCATCTGTGACCAACATGACTTTGAAAGCTCTGCTCCATAATGCATCATGGAGTTGATCAAAGCAGCTCAGCAGCTCACATTCACCTCACCGTTATCCACCTCCTTGTCTCTCTTTGCCTCTGCAGATCTGAGGCAGGACATGCTGACGCTACAGATCATTAGGATAATGGAGAACATCTGGCAGAACCAAGGCCTTGATCTCAGGTAGGCTCCTCACTTCGTCATGACAGCAGGGATGCAGGTACCCATTAACAGGCACCGGACCTTTCATGTTCTGCGAGCCATACTTGAATGCAGATTAGCAGGCAGACCCTGCCAGCCACCTCACGTCATTTAATATAAAGTCCATCAGTGCTGTCTTGATATATATATATATTTTTTCTTTATCGCCTTGCCTCTCATGTTTTCTACGCTTCCTCTTCCAGGATGCTGCCCTATGGCTGTTTGTCTATCGGCGACTGCGTGGGTTTGATCGAGGTGGTGAGGAACTCTCACACCATCATGCAGATCCAGTGCAAAGGAGGCCTGAAGGGGGCGCTGCAGTTCAACAGCCACACTCTACATCAGTGGCTCAAGGATAAGAACAAGGGAGAGATGTGAGTGAGCTCAGTAGAGATGTTAATTAATGTTAATTATTAATGTCAAGCCTTTTTTTTTCTATTTCTACTTCCTTTGTGACGACATCTGCATAAATTTCCTAGACTGCCTCAAATGATTTTTCTTTTTTGCCGTCTCAGGTACGACCAGGCCATCGATCTGTTCACACGGTCGTGCGCAGGCTACTGTGTAGCTACATTTATCCTGGGCATAGGAGATAGGCACAACAGCAACATCATGGTTAAAGATGATGGGCAGGTAATGATTACAGCCGCTTCTCTTTCTGAGTTAAACTTCATCTCTATACTTTAGATTTTTTGGTTTATCCTTTATAATTTAATGTGTCATATTTTCTGTGTTCACAGCTGTTCCACATAGACTTTGGTCACTTCCTTGACCACAAAAAGAAGAAGTTTGGGTACAAGAGGGAGCGCGTCCCCTTTGTGCTCACGCAGGACTTTTTGATTGTTATTAGCAAAGGAACGCAAGAGTGCACCAAAACGAGGGAGTTTGAAAGGTAATGCTTCACCCACAGCGACGCTGAAAGGGTGGATGAGGTGCTTTTTGAGTCGTCTTTTTAAAATTTTTTTGTTACAACAAATGACTCAGCACAGCAACTAGTCTGTGTAAAAATAAAAATCTGAAGGTGTTAGGAGAGAAACGGAAGAAGTAAATAAATATAAATCAAATGGTAGGCACCACAGGCTTGTAGCGAAGACAAAACAAAAGATCAGACAGTCAAGCCGTGACAGATGTGGCCGCTAGTGATCTTATTGTAAACACACACCAAAGGTTTTCTGTCACTGATGAGATCTGAGAGCAACAAAGTGACTGAAGAGTTTGTGAAACAAAGATCCGGAGCCCAGATTCTCATAAACTGTTTCCTGGAGGAATGACGCAAGCGGCTCAAATGTTCCATAGAAATTCTGGATCAGGTTTGTCATTTATCCAAGACATGGAAATGTTATTCCTTGCAGCGTATGCAAGGATGTAGTCTAATGAAGCTGATGTCCGCAATATTGTTCCAAATTGGATGTCCTGAAAGAGATAAAGGGTCCATGTTCAAAGACTCTCCCAGTATCTTTTGCACCTCCTGCAAAAATGTCTAGCCAATGGAAATGAATTTTTGGACACAGCCAATCACAGTGTGAATAGGTTCTAATTGAGGTCTTGCACTTCAAATGTAAGAAAGTTGATGATTCTTCTGTTGTCTTTTACTGCACACAGTGCCAGATTTAAAATAGCAGCAGTCTTGTTTCAGTTACCCACCAAATAAAACCTTGGTGGGTAACTGGGGTGGGTAACAGAACTTGACCCTGCTCGTTTTGCTTCCCTCTTCAGATTCCAGGAGATGTGCTACAAAGCGTACCTGGCAATCCGGCAGCACGCCAACCTCTTCATCAACCTCTTCTCCATGATGCTGGGCTCGGGAATGCCTGAGCTGCAGTCGTTCGACGACATCGCTTACATCAGGAAGACCCTGGCCCTGGACAAGTCGGAGCAGGAGGCCCTCGACTACTTCATGAAGCAGATGAACGACGCTCACCACGGCGGCTGGACTACCAAGATGGACTGGATCTTCCACACGATTCGCCAGCATGCCATGAACTGAGGAAAGAATGGTGGCAGCAGCAGGACACGAAGAACCACAAGAACAATAAAAAATAAGCAAGTTGTTTCCCCTAACACACTAAGGCCTGGTGAATATTTCTGCCAGTGCTTGACTCTGAAACTTTGCCTGCCAGCGCGACTCAAAACGAGCACGCTCAGAAGAAATGCCTAAATGCTCCTTTTCCTTACAGACGTCTGAAATTTCTCTCCCTGCATTATGAACTTAAGAAGGTGGAGTTAAATTTCACCTGTTGTCTTCATAGGAGCTAAGCTAGCATGGACCTGGACAGCATTGGCCTTTACGTGAACCGAGTATAGACAGGTTACATTTTATCTTTTTATTTTCAAAGCTTCTACAACCATCAACATTAAGAGAGGAACTTCATGAAGTGATACACGATGAGCACAGCTAGCTTTTTATAAAGAGATTGAAACCGAATTATTTCAACTACCTATTTTTGAACTGATGAAGGCGGGGCCAGGTGAAGATGGGGCTGTTGTTGCAGCCGGGCAGCTCACCTGCCAGGTACTCTCAGAATTTTCCAATAAGATTATATAAACACTGAACAAACCTCAAAGTTTTTTGGGAAAACCTCAACTAAGCATTTAACACTATTTGAAGAAATTGCAATGATGACCTATTTGTAACCTACCAGTGTACAGATCATGTCCCGTCATATAAGTGACTTTTTGTACAGCAGTATATCCATATACTTGTATGCATTTGGTGCACATATTCCTTTTTGAATCTATTCTCTACTGAGCCAAAGTACTACATGCATAACTCCACTAGTCTGCAGTCTTATTGTTAAAAACAAACAAACCCCCCCCAAATAATCACTACTATTCCAAGTCTTGTGTGTACTCTTAGCACTGATGTCTACAGTATTTGTTTTGTTCTTGTCTGTCAGTATTAGTTTGTGTCACATGTAGAGGCACAAACGTGTCATCTATTCAGTGCACATGGACCCGAGAAAAACTTTCTGATGACCAGCTGGTTAGGGTTCGTCTTTCTTTTTCTTTTTTCCTTTTTGGGATGCACCAAAATATGAATTTGGCCAAAAGCGGGGTTTTTTCCCCCCTTTTTGTTTGTTTTTGTATTGCGCTAGTTTGTTTCAGGAAAACAAAGTTTTTCCTCAATACGTTAGTTCGAAAAAACATTTTTTAAGGTCATCCTCATCACAGAGTCTCGGAACATTTAGCCAGCACCAGATTCATGTTGGACGACACTTACGGGTCGATAAACGTCAGGCTCGATAACCGACCAATGTATCAGCGCATCCCTGTTTTTTCCTGTTTGGTGGTTTTATTGTCGTTTAGCTAACACGGGCAGGAAACAAAGGATGTGCGGTGTTCATTTCGTGTGCTGTGCAGTTACTCTATGCAAGTCATGATCCTATAACATGTACTGTATACTGATGTCGGGCACAGAGGGAAGCGCATCTTCCCCCTGGCGTGCTCGCACAGAGAACCGTCGGTGGACTTTGTATAGAAAGTGCACGGAAGAAGGAAAAAACCCCAAAAAACTCACGAAGTTGCCGTGTAACAGTATCGTCTACTTCCCAGCAGAAAGAGCTGTGCAAAACACCTCTGGACCCTGCCTTTTACTTGTCCTTGAGAAACTTTGGAGCTTCGGTCTAAGCCATGTGTTTAAAAAATAAAAAAACAAAACTTTTTTGCTCTCAATCACAGAGAGCAAAGAAAGAAAAGTATCCGAAGTTATATTTTTGAAACCTTCCAAGTGTCTTCTTCCATACCTGTGATTGATGCCCTGTGCGTGGAAGCGTGGCCGGCGTTATCGCTGCACAGACTCTTGTACGCGTCCATAGGTGTTGTAGCTTTACTAAAGTGATGCCTAACAGGGCGGTTTCCTGGAAACGTTAAGTCTGGTAAAGTAAGCGAAGTTTGAGCGAGGACTTAAAACTGCTCAGGAAACTGTCGACTGACATGCACGCGCTTCTGTACGGGATACAGAGCAGTGGGCCGGACCCGAACTGACAGAACTAACCCTCACATATACTTTATAGAAGACCTATCTAAACCACGCTCTCTCCCTTTGTACTTGTTTTGTTTCTCACACTGCATTATGCATGACTATCTACCTTTTTTTTTTTCTTCGACCTGATGTTGTCTACTTGAATTTCATGTATAGAAATGACCTTGTTACTTGTTTAAGGTACAACAAAGTCACAGTGAAGTTAACAGATACTGATACAACGTGTGCAAATGCTTTCCTTGAATAACTACAGAGGTAATATATTTTTGTATTTTTTAAATGTAAGCAATCTCATGAGTAACGGCTAACCAGGAAAAAGGCAAAAAAAAAAAAAGTTAAAAAAAAAAGGAGGAGTCACGTGTAACATTCACCATCCTCACGCAAAATCCAGCAAACAGCCTCTTGTCATCGAAAAGGATGTGACTGAAGGACAAGGACTTGGTGCTGCAGTTGGAGTACCATTCTCACATCAAGTGGAGGGAATTTTTTGCCCCAAGTGGAAGTCTCTAAGCACAACGCGTACAAAGAAACTACCCTGCATGTTTTAAAATGATCCAGACCCATGCTAGTTATCTTTCCACCTGTATATGTCAGAAAAAAACACCTCAAATACTTCTTTTTAGTCATCCTCATATCACCATGTCTGTATGCATTCATTTATTGTGCTGTTGAATAAAAACATTTCTCCTCGTGAATAAGTCTGGCAGTTTATTTTACTCGTTTAAACATTTAGGTCATTTACAAGCCACTTTTTCATTTCCATGCTTACAAAAAAAAACAACTCCAGAATAATATTTACACAGTGAGCCAAAGCCATGAAGAGAAGCATTATAAAGGTTTCCATAGAAAAATACAAAAAAAAGACTTATTAGAAGGGTCTGTGCGATATGGCACACTTGTGAAATGACTCCCATTAACATTATCTAACATTAAATGATTGCAGTAAGAGTAATTGATACTACTGTGCAAAAGTCTTGAGTCATTCCTCATGTTTCTATATTTTGCTCAGAATTGGGAAATAAGTGCATACATTTATTGAAAAGTAAAAACATGGAAACTGTATACAAGGTGAAGGTTGGCAGTGAGTACTTCATATGACTA